AGGTTCTTATTGGGCAGGGGTTGTGTCTTAAAACCCATCACTGTCTCTAGGGTGAAACAGCACATATATCGTAAGCACTCAACATTTTGTTTAATACACAAATAAGTGAATGTTTTAAAATCACTAATTACATACCTACAACCGTTGTTATAGCTTGGATTGTGCCTCAAAAAGATATGTTGAAGTCCTAACTCCCAGTACCTTAGAACACGCCCTTATTTTGAAATAGAGTCTTTGCAAATGCAGTTAGTTAAGATAAGATCATACTCAATTAGGGTGGGCCCCTAATCCAGGGACTGGCTTCCCCTACACATGGACACACACAGAGGGAAGAAAGATATTTAAGACGGAAACAGCAACTGGAGTGATATGTCTATAATCCAAGAATGCCAAGTGTTCACCAGAAACTAGGAGGCCCGGAAGGATTCTCCCCTATGGGTTTCAGAGATTGCATCCCTGAAGACCCCTGGATTTCAGACTTCCAGCCCCTAGAACTGTGAGAGAATGAGTTTATGTTGTTTTAAGGCACCCAGTTTATGGTCCTTGTTACAGCAGACCTAGGAGACTAATGTAACTGCTGAACAGCAAAATCGTCTTTCTTCAGCAAAAAGAAACACTGTGGTATGTACCAACTTTTTCCCACCCTCACCTCTACACAGCCTCACCTCCTGTTGTATGACAGGGCTGGGGGAGGTCCTGACTGGTCAGGGCTCTGTACAGAGACCCCACCTGCTTTGCTGGAAACCCCTGTTTTGGGGAGACCCCCATGGCAGCCCCAGACACCAAGAGAGCACCAGCTGTGTCCAGAACACACAGAGCCTGTCCATTTTGTGCTGCTATAGCAGAATACCACAGACTGGGTAGTTTACACAGAACAGAAATTTATTTCTCACAGTTCTAGAGGCTGGAAGTCTGGGATCAAGGTGCCCACAGGTGATGAGAAAGAGAGACAGACAGAGAGACAGCCCACTCCCACGAGCCCCTTCCATAGCAGTGTCAATCACCCTTGAGGGCAGGGCCCACACCACCCAACACCTCCCGAAAGGCACCACCCCCACGCCCACTTCACCGGGTATCAAGTTTCCAACACATGCATTTTGGAGTACACATTCAGACCACAGCACTCTAGTCAAAGCTTGTGACACGGTTTTAAAATATGTCCACATGACCACAGAGGAGTCTACAAAAGTAAATAAATAAAGTCCGCAAGTTCTTTGATGTCCCTCCTCTTGGCAGGTGGAAGGTGGACATCCCTGGTGGCTTCCTGTGCGGCTCTGAGGCTAATTTGCGCATCTTCTACAAAAGTAAATAAATAAAGTCCGCAAGTTCTTTGATGTCCCTCCTCTTGGCAGGTGGAGGGTGGACATCCCTGGTGGCTTCCTGTGCGGCTCTGAGGCTAATTTGCGCATCCTCCCTCTTGCTCCCTCTCGATGGCTCACTCTGGGGAACCAGCACCACGTCGTGAGCCGTGGAGAAGGTCCATGCACCGAGGGACTGAGGCCTCTGCTGACAGCAGTGTGAGGGAGGCTTCCGGGAAGGGATCCTCCAGCCCCCATCCATCCTTCAGATGACCGAAGCCTCTGCCAACGTCCTGACTGCAGCCTCCTGAGAGACCCCACACCAGAACCACCCAGCTCCTGAACTCCTGACTTTCAGAAACTGGAGATACAGCTGTTTCCAGCTACTGCCTGGATGATTACTCACACGGCAATAGATGCCTGGCACAGCTCTGAGTGGACTCCCAGCATGAGTCTCACCTTTGCTTTTCCTTGCTAAGAAAACGTCTGATCAGGCTGTGAAGGGTTCCCCATCCCCACCTTATGCTGAGGCTCTGCATGGTGACTGTCTCAATCACCTTCTGCCCCTACCTGCCCTAAAAATCAAGCCCTGGCCTGTGACCAACAGCCTGGTCTTGTGGGGATGCCACGGCCCATGTGTACTTACATGTGGGGTGCACACGTCTGTGTGCCCAGAATACAGACATACAGAACTCACACCTTATAAAAACATTTTCAACATGTGTCCCTTCTCTCCCTGCCCTGCTTTTCTCTCCTACAGATTTCTGACGCCTCTGTGTCTTCGCAGGCTGAGTGTCCTGGGTTCTGCTTACTCTCCTCTCCCTGGACAGGAAGTAGGGATGGTGAGCATGCCTTCGAGCCTGGGAATGTCACTGGGACTGCCCCGAGAGGGGCGAGAGTGGGGTCTCCCTGGGTCATGGGGAGCAGCACCTTTCCAGTACCTGGACTTGACTTGGGCATGCAGCCTGAGCATGGGCAGTGTGGACATCCACGACCAAACATGCCACCCGCCCAGCAGTGGAGTCCCGCTAGGCGCCCCCAAGTGGCATGTCCACCAATGTGAGTCAGAGCATCTCCTTGTTCTTCTAGTTACTCCAGGCCCCCATCCTGGGTCAAGACGTGCACCCGTGAGCAGTCGGCTGCCAAATGGTGCATGGGAACAAGTCCCCAGGGGTCTTGTGGCTCCCTGCAGCCCTGAGGCTCAAGCCTCAGACTCAGACTTGTCAGGCTGGAGGGTCCTGGGCCGACAGGAAGCTCCTGAGAAGGCACAGCGCCCCAAGGGAGAGCAGGGAGGACCCCACACAGCGGCCAGACCCAGGCCAGCCACACCCACGCCCCTGCCCCGACCTCCCACAGACCCTTTGGGCTCCAGAGAGGAAAGTGGGCTTGTGTGTCCTCTACGTGCTCATTTCTTAAAATGGCCCCTGCCATTAGAATGATTCATGATGGTGCTGATAAAGTCAAGATATAACCGGCTCTGGTCAGAGAAGCACGCGGAGCACACATCACTCACGCAGTGCACCCAAGCCGTTCCCGACCCATGGGTGCACGACACACATTGGGACAGTTCAACCATCTCTTAAACACACATTTTTTTCTTTAATTGTTCATTTGGTTTAATTTTTAAGCTCACTGACTACGAGGACGAGGTGGGTGCATGTTTCACTAGGCTGCTGCTAGGGGAGAGCTGCTAGCCTTGAGGAGTCTGACCAGCAGCTCGCTTTCTGCTTTCCTTTCTGAGTCCCACAAAAGTCACATGTGGGCACCGCTGGGTTCCATTCTGGCTTGTTGCTCCCTCTGGAGGCTGTCTTGGCGGGGACCAAGAGAGAGGACAGTGGCTCCTACTTCCCCTGCACCCACTACAGAGGATCAGCATCCACCCACACTCTTAGCTTGCCCTGTTGGACCACTGGCAGTGCCCCTCCATGGGCATTCTGCAGGACAGAAGCTGAGGGCATGGGGGGCTGCAGCCACCTGGTTTTGGGGACCTGGCTCTGGATCATGAGAGAACCTGGAATCTGCCCTGCTCACACATTACACCAAGTACACAGTCAGCAGGGACCCTGCCCCCGCACTCAGCTGTGGGGTGGGGCTGCCCTAGAGAAAAGTGGCGGATGCTGAGGTGGCAAAAAGACAGGGCCCCTCCCATTTCCAGGCAGGTGACCATCCTCAAAGGGTGGCACTGGGGCTCTGGAGACACTCAGGGCTGAGGGAGGGGAAGGGACCCAGCCTAGAGGGTTGCCGGCAGGAGAGATCTAGAGCCAGGCCTCCCACCCCCAGGCCCCTCTAGCAAGGAGTTCCACCAATGGATCAGGTGGGAGGTGGGGTGGGGGCCAGCTTGAGAACCCAGTTTCCTGTCCTTCCAACATCTGAATCTGCAGGCAGCTGGTCCCGTGGAATACCCCCTTGGGGCTCCCCAGGAGGACTTGTGCCTGCCACCCACTCACACCTGGCGACACCTGCCTGGGGGCTGGCCTGAAAGCCCAGTAGCCAGCAGGTTTGTTCTACTAGAGAGGGCATGGGAGTGGCCAATATTCCAGAGGGCTCTACCCGACAGGGTCCTTCCAGGCATGTGCAAAGCGCTGAGCCGGGAGAGGCGGCAGCAGCTGTCCAAGCTGCGCAGAACCCTCTCACCTCCGCAGCCTGCTCACGGGTCCCTGGTGGAGAATGCCCACTCCCAGCAGGCTCAGGCAGGCCCAGGGTGCCCACCTCAGACAAGGTGATCTCAGAGGACGCCTGTGCAACTGCATTAAAGAGTGCTGCAGCCCCTGTCCACCCGCCAGTTCCAAAAAACTCTGCTGCACACACAGTATCCCAGGGCTTGCCACAGTTACAGGGACTTTGCCCCCCCCCAACGCCCAGTGATCCTCCTCCACCCAGTTATTTCTCCTTCACTCCCCCCAGCCCCCTCCTCACGAAAAGGCAGGTGCTGTTGCCTTTGCCTGCTGGCTGCAGGGAGCTGGTTCAGAGGACGTGGGGACAAGGTGCAGACAAGGTGCCACCGCTGCTGGGTTTATTAAGGTCACCACCACATCCTCCTGGTGTTTGAACTGAGGGACCGACAGTCCCGGGACCCGGCCAGGAAAAGACCTCAGTCAATGACCCGCCACAGGGGCTGGACAGCTCAGAGTGCGGAAGGAAAGCGTGAAGCTGGGGGAGCGGGAGAGGGGCGGGGCGGGAACGAAGCTGTATCTAGACAGAGCAGAACAGACAAAACCAAAACCCGAATGAGCTCGCGCCTGGGATCCGGGTGCGCCATGTCCACAGCCCCTCAGCCGGACATCTCCTCCCGCTGCTCCTTGTTCCTGCGCACCTCGGCCGCGTGCAGCTCCTGCGGGGACAGGCGGGCGGGGGCGCGCGGGCGCCTCAAAGTGTGGCCCAAGCGTGCGACGGGGTCTCCTTAACCCAAACCAGAACCCGAGACCTTGTGACTCAGGGAATTTTGGGGTGTACACGCAGACCGGAGCTGGAGGCAGTGGAGACCGCGCCCACGGGGCTCCGGACAAGGCAGGGCCTCTCCTCACCCCGGGTGCCACGGACAGGACAGTGAGTCACTGCAGGGGGCGGGAGCGCGGGAGGCGCGGTGGGCAGGGGCCGCCGAAGGATGGGCTCCCAGGAGCCTCCCTCGCCCCAGCCTAAAGCAGCCAAACCCCCTTCTAGCTAGTGCCCGGGACGCGCCTCCTTCAGAACCCTTCAAAATTAACGAGTTTACAGCTTATTATTGCCGCTATTGACTGTGTCGCACCAGGACCAGACTCGGGGGCTGACTCGTGCAAAAAATGCTGAGTGCGTGCCCCCCGCCTCCCTGCCGACCACGCCCTGGCCCCGGCCCCGCCCCCGCTTGCCCCGGCCCCGCCCTGGCGCACCTTCTCGCGCAGCCGCTCGCGCAGCGCCGCCAGGTGCGCCTCGCGGATCTCCCTGCTGAGCTCCATCTTGTGGTTGAGCTTCTCCTCCGCCAAGCGGCTGAAATTGCTGCTCCCTTCCAGCGCCTTGTGCAGCACCTCGCGCTCGTGCTCTCGCCGCTCCGCCAGCTGCTTCAGCACCTGCGCCTCCTGCGTCTGCGCGGACCGGCGGACGCGGTGAGCTACCCCTGCCCGCCCGCCAGGCGTCCCCGCCCGCCCCGCATCGGTGGGTGTCTGGATACCCGGGAACTGTCCTGGAGCAGCCTCGACCGTCGCCGGGCCCGGGGTCAGGGCATCCCGCTTCTGCCGCAGAGGCCCTCTCTGCCCCTCACCCTGCCCTACTGCCCACTGGACAAGTGTCCTCAGAGAGCTCGGGCCTACGCTGTCCTGCCGTCAGGGAGGGTGACCACCTGGTCCCAGTTTGCCGGGGTTTACCGGTCTTCGGCCCTGAAAGGTCCACTTGCCGGGAGACCCTCAGTCCCAGACAAATCTGAGGTGGCTGGCCCTTCACACCTGTCCTTGGCCCTCAGGCTGCCCCCTCCTCGCTAAGCTTGGAGCGCCTGTGCGGCAGGGCAGCCCCTGTCCTGTTCGTGGCCTTCCAAAGCCCAGGAGACGTTGATGGGGCGCAGCAAATCTTAAACTCGTGGGCTGCAGGTGCTCGATACACACTGGGTTCTCAGCTACCAAGCGGGTGCTCAGGGGCGTGAGGGGTTCCCCAAGGCTGCTGGCGCCTCACTGCCTGGCCCTGCTAAGGGAGGAGCTGCCTGGAGGCCCTTGGGAGGAGAGCAGGAAGATGCTAGGCTCCTATGAGCAATCTGAGTGGCTACTGGGCCCCCACCATGTCCCAGTTGCCACGAGTTAACCCTGCAAAACCTAGGGCCCCACGTGTCACTGGGACCTGCCCAATGGGCCTGGCTCCAGGACCGACTCCCCAGAGCACGTTGTTCTCTCTGTGTTTGTCTCAAAAGGCCTGGTTTGGGGGGAAGGGGAGGGAAAGGGGCCTGGAGCCCATACCTAGTTTTCCCCCGGGGCCCTTTGGAGTTCCTGAGCACGCCCCAGCTGAGGGTCCTCAGATGTGAAGCCCTTCCTCCTCACTCCCCTGCCCAGGAAAAGGACACCAGCCCCAGCCTCACGTCCCCAGGGCCCCTCTTGGGACCACACCATGAGCCCTTGCTGGCCGCGACCAAGGGTGCCACGCCCCTCCCAAAGGTGTCGGCATCCTTTTTCCTCTCCATCAAATTTCCATCTCTCAAGAGGAGGTCTGTCATGAGGACCTTCCCACCCAGGCCGATGCCCTGACTAAGCAGGGGGGTTGGAACACCCTGTGCTTCTGGAGCCCTGGCCACCTTCGTCAGGACTCCTGGGCTCGGGAGGGTCTCCTTGCCTTCCTCCGCTCCTCCGCTGCCTCCAGCCGCTTCTGCAGCTCCTCCAGGGAGGCGTCCTTCCTCTTGGGTGGGGAGGAGAGCACAGGGCTCTCTGGGGACAGGTCAGAAGGGGACTTGAGGATAACCTCGAAGCTCTGTCCAGAGGCCCGTTTGTCCAGATGCTTCACCTCCATGTCTGCAGGGCAAAACCAGACAGGGCTCAGGAGGCTGGCCGGGGTCGGGGATGGGGGGCGCTGAGTGGGAAGGTGTGCTGCTCCTGCGGGACTCAGGCCTGAGCCCCAGGACTGCCTCCCCCCCAGGTCCTCCCTTCCCAGAAGCTGGGGTAGGCAGGCACACTCACCCCCATACTGGTAGATGGTCTTGGGGTGCGGCTGCGAGTAGAAGCAGGAGCAGATGAGCGACAGCACAGACAGCTCCTTCATCTTCTCCTTGTAGGCTGCGGGTGTGAGCCAAGGTGAGCAGGCCGGTCCTGCCCAGCCTCCCCTCCCCGTGGCTGCCTCTGCCTGTCTCCCTGGGAGACACAGAACTCTTTTCTGAGTTTCCATGTCTCTGACTCTCTACATCTCCTCTCCTCTGGCTCCAGATTCGGGCTCTGTCTTCCCTGGTGTGTCTCCCTGCATGGTTCTCTCTCAGCCTGTCTTTCCGTCTCCACCCTCTGCTGCCCTTTTCTCTTGTCTTGGCAGTTCTATTTATCTCACTCCTTTGCTCTGCTCTGTCTCTGTCTTTTGTTCTGTGTGTTTCTCCCTGCCTGCTGTGGCCCGAATGTTTGTGTCCCCCCAAAATTCATATATTGAGATCCTGACCCCCAAGGTGATGGTATTAGGAAGTGGGGCCTTTGGGAGGTGATGAAGTCATGAGTGTGGAGCCTCATCAATGGGATTAGTGCCCTTATAAAAGGGACCCCAGAGAGCTTCCCCCACCCTCTCCGACATGTGAGGACACAGTGAGAAGATGGCTGCCTATCCATGTAGCAGGATGTGAGACCTCACCAGACATCACATCAGCCAGCACCCTGATCATGGACTTCCAGCCTCCAGAACTGTGACAGGGAGAGATTTCTGTTGTTTACACGCAGTCTAAGGAATTTTGTCATAGCAGTCAGAACAGACTAAGATTCTGCCTCCATCTGTCTGGGCCTCTGTTCATCCCTCTCCACCATCTTTGTATCTCTCTGTGTCTCTGGGGGTGTCCCTCTGACCCTGTCCCTCTGTATCTCTCTGAGGTTCTTGGTCACTGCGTATCTTTCTGATTCTCACTTTCCTCTGCCCCCACGTACTCCCTTTCCCCTCCTTCCTCATTTTCTCCAATTCTCTGGCTCAGGTGGACAAAATTAGCCACCACCCTCCTGACCAGGACAAGCACAAATGTGAAGCCTCTGTGGGCAGCATTTGGCTGATCTTTAAACTTGGGTCTTGGATGGACCCTCCTTGTTCCTCCCCATTTACACTGGTGGCAGTGTGGCCATCCCAGAATGAAACCAGGCCCTCACCGGGCACATACTTGCTGCCCATCCCAGGCCAGGCTTGGGCCCAGACACAACCAAGGACAAGAGAAGGCAGCTGTCCACTCAGCACCACAGCTCACCCACCTGCCAGTGTCCTTGCTGCCCAACTGGAAAAGGAGGTAATCCTGCCACTGTGGCCCCAAGCCTTGTCAGGGGAAGGGAAGATGCCCGCTCTCAAAATGGAAGTGATTTAGCTATTTTTGGTCTGTTCACGGTAAGCCACACACTGCAGTAGACACATTGGCCAGTTGTCGCACTAGTGAGTAACAATCCTACGAGCCCAACAGTCACCCCCATGCAGCAGGGACTATGCTGGGGCTCAGGTCGCTGGGGTGACATGACCAGTGTTCCTCAAAGTGCAATCCTGAAGACCAGGAGGCTCTGAGACCTGTGCGCCTGCCTCCTCTCTGGAGGAGCCGGCATGGGTCTCCAAGGAGCCACACCAGCAAGAGGAAGTTCTGCTTCCTTGAAGGGAGAAGCATGCACAGTACCCACCAGCATCCTTCTGGGGCAAACAAGAACTGGAAGAGCTGCCCAGATGGACAAGGAACCTTTTGTTTTACACAAGATTTTAAATGTTTTTTTTTTTCTCCTTTTTGTCTTTTTTCGTAACCAGTAACGGGATCGCAACCCTCAGTGTCGCACCCATACCGCGACCGGCCACGGGATCGCAACCCTCGGTGTCGCGCCCGCACCGCGCTCAACCAGTGAGCGACCGGTCTGTATATGGGATCCAAACCCTCGGCGGGAGTGCCGCCGCGCTCCGAAGCGCCGCACTCTACCGAGTGCGCCACGAGGCCGGCCCTAAAATGTTTTAAAAAATTTTTTATGTTTAAAGTTGACTTGGCATGAAATTGAGAAAACCGTCGATATAAAACCATCACAGCACAGAAATTAACAAGCCTTTCATGGCAAGCTGGGTCCTCCTGTGACCAGAGCAGAGAATGGTCTTATTTGATATAAATTTCCTGATGACCCAGACTCCTCTGAGGAGAGCAACACAAAGCTCAGGAGGCTGTACAAAGGGGCAGAAAGGCACCCAGGGTCGGCAAGCACAAGGGGGAGCCTTGGAGGCACCACACCTATGGAGGGAGGCGTTGTCTTCAGGAGGCTGAGGAGGGAGGAGGTGAGAGGATCAGGTGGGGGCAGGCCTCAAAGGGGACTTTGGCCTGACTTGTCAAGTTTTACTTTTTTCAAGAGCAAAATCTACTCATGTATTATTTGTATTATTAGAAGTTAATTTTAAAAAGGAAGCAGGGGCTCTATCTCAGGATATGTGGTGAGGGAGTTGGAGGGTTCAGTAGTAGTAGGCCAGGAGCATCTGGGACATGTGGTGGAGCAGGGCAGGTGGCCAGACCTGTGCTCAGGAGGAGCAAGAGAGTCTGGGCTAGGGTGGGACAGATGTGGGTCCCGGGAGGCCAGGAAGGAGGAGACTCAGCCAGTACCCACCTCCCTGCCAACAGACCCCAGACCCCCAACCCTGACCTTTCAGATCATCCTTCCTCATCGTACATCAAAAACCCTGAAGGGAGGCTGACCATTAGTTCAGTTGGTTAGAGGGTGGTGTTGTAACACCAAGGTCAAGGGCTTGGATCCCCATACTGGCCAGCTGCCAAAACAAACAAAAACAAGCCCTAAAGGGGTTTACCATACAGCCTTACTGGCCAGGATCCTGGGGCTTGACAGCTGCACCAAGCCCTGCTCTGCCTTCCACAGGAGAAAGAGGAAGGACGAGTATAAGGACAAACGCCAGGGAGGCTCCCATCAAATAACCATCACCTCAGCACATGGGGCATCTGGCAGCAATTCGGCGGGCAGGATGATGAGCAGGGGCAGGTAGGAGCATCTGCACCCTCAGGAAAGGGGAAAGGGATGGGGGCTGGTGACATAGGCCAAAGTTCTCACAGGTCATGGCGCTGCCCAGTGAACAAGTGTCTGACTGGGAAGTGGGGGACTGTGTCCTGTGGCTGTAAACACAGATACAGCTCAGCATCTGATGGTCATGGAGATTCCCCAGTTTGAGGAGCTTCCTTCCGAGAAGAGCGGTCTTCAAGGAGCCAATGGGACAGGGCACCTGCAGACAGCCCAGCCTTCCAAAGTCATCTCCAGGAAGGGAGCCCATGGCGGGCACCCGCGGGCACCCAGGACCTGCAGCCCAGCCTCAGTGTGGGTCTGGGGCAGCAGCTGGACAGAGCAGCCCCCAGGTGCGGAGGAGAGTCCCATTCTGCCCAGAGCCTGTCCCAGCATCTCTGCGGGTGTGGGAGGGGGGGGGGAGGATGAAGCCCAGATGGACAAGACTGCCAGATAAGGTGTGTCAGTGACGCACGCGGTCCCCTCCTAGATGGGTGCAGAGGTCATCTCGAGCCTCCACGCCCCCTGGGCCTGCGGGGCGGGACACGCGTGGGTGGGCGGGGTTTCGCGCCGAAGCGTGTGCTTGAGGGAAAACCCAGTTGGCGAGGGAGGGCGGACCGCAGCGACCCGCCCCCAGGGTGGGCTGGAGCGGGTTTGGACAGCGGGGAGGACGGGAAGGGGGTGGGAGGCCGCCGGTCCTGCAGTCGCCGGCGCCCCGCGGAGA